TGCCTGGGCACACCTGGGGTAGTATGTAAGCAAAAAGTAAGTCCATTATCATGACATTACGAACTATCAGAACTATTAGAAKTGATAAAATAACCCCATGAAAAACAAAAGAAAACCCACAAAAACAAACACCCCAAAACAGTATAACTACACCACAAATGGCTATTGTTTGAAAGTGTTTGGTCTGCTGATTGTTTTGGTCTCTGAAAATTCTGAGGTGTGTAGGACAAGCGTTGAGGGTCAGTAAAAGGCATTTCCCTTATCTAGGACACACAATTCTCCCAGTCCTGTTTTCCATTGGCTGAGGTTACATAGTTACCACTGGATGTGAGAGGCAGAAGCATAAGAGGCAGCTGGGGCTTGCTAGTTTTGGGCCAGCTTTCCAGAAACAAGATAGCTTTTGCAGAACAGTTAAGATTATGTCCTGTTGCCAGGAGGGAACAGGAGAGAAAAAACGCTGCAGATTCAAACCAAAGCGGCGTGTTGGAGATGGGTGTCTCACATCTGCCAGTGTCTCGGAGATGTACTGCTCCCAGTGAGGAGACCCTGCTTTTCTTGCCACCTTCCATATTTAGGACAGATAGTGTATCAGCCAGAACTGCCTCCTTAACTGACACATTGAGTTCTGTCATCCAGAGCTTCCCGAGGGGTATTTTCTTGCCCTTCTTTCACAACGATTTCCTAGAACTCATACACCTGGGAATCCTGGATGTGGATCCATATTCCAAAACTTCCAGCACAGTCTGGGTCAGATTGCATGTGTGTGAGTCTGACCACAGCATAGCCTGAGAGAAACAGCTCCCAGTCCAGCCCCATGATGTTGACACTTTCCTTCCATTTGTTTTTTTAAACCTCCACCTCATCCTTCTCTTCTTCAGTTTCTTATTCAGATGAGTGGTTCCTGTGGACTAAACTAAGCAGGAATACACTCTCCTCTCTTTTTGTAACTCTAGCATCCAAATAAGACACAATCCATAATTAAAACAAAACTGTGGGGTTTTTTTTCTAGAAGGTACTTAATAACTGATGCATGAGTTAAGGCATGAAAGAGGGGCTGAAATTTCCTGACAGATGTTTCCTAGACAAGGCCAGGTGGCAAAACCTTGTTATGGTTTTGCATTTTTATAAATAATCTTATTGGCCGATGTCTTCATAATTCCCATGAGTTGATGGTTATCTTGCACAATAATCCTAGTAAGAAGCCCTGCTTAAATAATTTCATTTATTTCATTTTTTTWAATTGCTGCTTACAGCAAGGTTTATCTAATTGTTTTGATTATTTTCCTACTGCTTCCTCTTCCTTTCATTTTATCACAATTCATTTCATGGGCAGATGATGCTGTACTCTGTGCTGCAAGAGGTGTTGATAAGGTTGCTCATTCAGAGCTTCCTTGTTTGTATCTCCTTTGATGTCTTCTTTTATAAGTAAAAAGTAAAAGATTACAGAATACAGTAATCTGTATTCTGTAATCTCTTAGTTACTGGAGGGTTTTACATGCTCAGATGACCTGTGAAATACRGTTTTGTTTTTGGGGTGAGTTTTTTGAGTTTATTGATTTAATTAGCACAGCCAACAAACAAAACAAGGGAAAAATAATAAATTTTCAAAGCTTAAGGCAACTTCTGTTTCACCACTAATGACAAAAAATTGGGCAACACAATTTAACTCAGCTCATAGTGTTTTTCTGAAGGCTTATGTTAATTTAAAGGTATGCCTACCTCAAATTTTTTTTTTCTCTGATCACTTTAAACAGACTTGTGTATGATTATAAAACCTTAATTAACACAGCAGTTTATAACAACTTCAGSTGCTCCTCATATACTGAGCGTTTTGGGCTTGTTACTGCTTTTGCACGGGTGTTATCTGTGCTGGTGGGCTGGACCCAGCTGACATCCAGTGCCTTCTAGTGGCTGGAAATGATGTAGAACACGGTAACCTACAAAGGGTGGCTCACATGGTATTCCTGTTTGTCTCATTACATCYTTTATTTTAATTCCTGCCCACCCTCCCCCAGATCTCACAGCTGTCTCTGTTTCCCCTGCATGCCCAGGGCGCTGGTATATCCGGGAAGGCTGGCTTTCGGTGGTGCCTTCAAAGGGAGAAGAACTGAAGCGCAGGATGTTCTTCCTGTTCTCTGATATCCTCATTGCAGCGAAGCCCTGCCACCCACTGCACCTGCTGAACTCGAACAAACTGTCCTGCCGGGCTGTCTWCCCGCTCCACCAGTGCTCAGTGGACAAAGTGTTCGGCCACACGCGGAGCCAGGGCGGGCTCCTCAGTGTAAGTCTTCCCACCTGCGCCTGGCAGAAGCGCTAGTGGACTCAGAGTTGGAAGCAGATCTCCAGCTGTCTCAGCAGCAGCAGCAGGACCGAGATGACAAGACCGGTGACAAAATGCAGTGAATGGGTCTGAGTTAGGGCAACMCTTCCTGAGTGATGTAGATGCTTTTCCTTTCATGGTATAGGCCCTCCTGCACACTCTGGGGTTACAGGCTGCTGGTTGCTTCATTTAGGTCAGGTAAGGAGGCTTAACTAGGACTCTGACATGCCCTCACCAGAGTCACAAGTTTGAGGGGACAGCCCCTCAGTCACATGACAATGAATATGTAGCATTACTTGACTGAGGACTGAAATGTAGAAAAACAGAATGAAAAAGATGCGGGTGTTACCAGAACAGCTTGTCCATCCAACTCCCTGAGGGCTGCAGAGTCTTCGACAGGGACCTGAGTCTTCTGTAGGGGTTTCAAGGTCAGTTCTTCCAAGGCTGCACCACCTGGGGCTGTGTCAGCTCTTTTCTTGTGAGCTATGACAAAGAGCTATTTGAGTGAGCTGTGCCCTCAGATGATGGTAGTGGAAGGACCCCTAGGGACAGCTTGGAATATGGTAGAAAACTGGATGAGAGCTGTTGAGAACTGTAATTGCTCACCTCCAAACAGCTTATTAAATCAAAGTGAACTGTCATCTGTGGCTGGAAAGAAAGACTGGCACATTCTCTACTGTTCAGCCTCTGGCTTCTCCCAGCACTAAGGGTAAATTTTTCTATCTTAGGGAAGGAAAAGTGTGAAAATCAGCATGCAGGGATTGAGCTGAATTCARTGGTGATAATAATCCTCCTTTTACCAGAGTACTGCACTGGCAAGGAGTGCCACAGATTCTGTTTGCCTTTCAGCTTTCCTTTCCACACAAGACMCTGCTGCTGATGTCCTGCAACCAACAAGACATCAATGACTGGTATCGGAGTCTCACAGCTGCAGTCAGGTAGGCATCGATTTTCCAGAGGTGGAAGGGGCTGAGGGAGGGGGACCAAAGTGGCAGTATGGACCTGKGCATGGTTATAACGGAGGTGGAGAAGGCCTGATGCTAGCAGCCAGGATACAAGGGAACAATAAGGACAGATTTCCCATATTAACTGTGAATTTCCCCTTTGTCTCTACAGGCAGCTGAAAGCCTGACCCAGCTGAGTACGAGACAGACTGGAGGGACAACCACCCTCGTGGGAGTAATTTCCACTATCTTGGAAAATGTTCACGGACATACAGTAGCACTGCAATGAAAGGGACTACACACTATGAGAGGATGAATGCTTTGTCAGCTGCCCTAATGTTCATGCAGATAYTGCAAAAAATGCATTTGTATATAAAAAAAATCTGCATCAAGGATTTCCCCCAATTTAGCTTACAAGGCTCTAGCTTTTCTGCACTTTAGTAAACTCAGATTATTAACTTAAGGTCAAGCAGATGAGAGTGACTTGTTTTCCATCATTAAATGTTTTGTTTAAGGTATTTTTGTATTTTGTTAAAGCCTCAGCATGGACTTTTAATAATGGGTGAGTTTTGCAGCAATGTGGTTCAGAAAATATTTATTTGAATATGGTCAACTGCAACAAGGGCAATTTCAAGGTTATTAGAAACATARTGATGAAGGTCTGTCTGAACACTGACCTTTTAGCAGTTCAACTGTTTTTCTTCTTCCTTAAGCAGTACCACCCAATCTTAATTTCTCTCTGGGGTTTATTAAAACAGAACTTGTACTGTGTGAAGTAATGTCTTGAAGAACTTTTTTTTTTATTTTCATATAATTAACTTGCTACACAGGATCACTCATTTAAATGTCTTAAGTTTGTGAAACCCAAGAAGAAATGCAACAGGGTTTTGGAAGCCACATTGGTCYACTGTGTTTTGCCAAGGAAGGTTGGACCAGGTATTCTTGATGTCCCTCCCAACCTGGCATTCTGTCCTGTGATTTTGTTTGGGTTGGTTTTGAATCTTCTCACTTATAAGTTACAGCTACAACATTCAAGTAGCAGTCATACCTGAAATCAAAGACAAAGCTATCAATTTAAGATTCTTATTGTTCAGTAGTTATATCGCTCAGAAAGTTATACTCTCTCCTTTTGTTCTAATAGAGTGAGATTTCTTGCAATCCTGTCCCTGAGGCTGGGGTGTCTGTCAAGCTCTTGCTAGAGATTACTATGACTCCTGCCTATATTAGTACCTTAAGACAAGCTCCTTTGGTAGTGTCTTCGTAAGACTTATCTCAGTGTTACCATCCTATCTGCATACAATGCTTTTGAAACAGCAGAAGCATTTTATTTTTTCACTAAATTTCGCAACCTGAAATGCTGAACACTGGGTCCTGGAACATATTGTAGCGCTGACACAATGAGGTCGTGATGCCCCAGTGCAGGGATGTGGGACAAGAAACTGTAACAAACACACATTTACGGAATTAGTTACTAATTTACAAGCACGGGAATTACAGCCAGGGTCGGTTTATGTCGGACATCAGGAAGAATTTCTTCACAGAAAGGGTGAAGACATAAATGGGCTGCCTGGGAGRTGGTGGAGTCACCATCCTAGGGATGTTAAAAGAAAGACGGGGTGTGACACTCAGAGCCATAGTCTATTTGACATGGTGGTGGTCTTGGACATAATCTGAGAGCTCTTTTCCGACCTAAATGATTCTGTCATTCTCCAAATACAACTCAAACACAAGCAAACTCACTTTCTGAACAAAATTTATTTACACATTGGGTATCAACCATCAGGGCTCCCAGCTTGATTTCCTGCTCCCGCTGAGTCTCTATTCAAGCCACCGGCAGAAGCCTGTAAACTCAGCCCTCGCCACAGCAACTTCCAACACCCTCCAGCCCTCCTGACACACCTTCCTTTTCCGTGCCGCTCGGCGGGGCTGGTGCGTGGGCAGCTCACCGGAGCCCGCTCGGGGCACAGGGCGCCCTAGACAGGAGTGCCCCGGGGGGCGGCCGCCCGCTGCGCGTCCTGCCGGTATCCCTTGAGCAGCTGGTTCAGCAGCGTCTTGTCCGAGTCGCGGCGCGGGCGGATGAGAGGCGGGAGCGGGTTCCCCTTCAGCTCGATCACCGCCATCTTAGCGCGGTCCAGCCCGTCCCGGTTGGGGATCTGCAGCATGCGCGTGTAGCTGCCCGGGTGCGGCTGGAAGCGCGGCGCCAGCACTTTGAACAGCTTGTGGATGAGGTCCTTCTCCTGGGGGGGGGGGCACGCTCAGCCCCGGCACCGCGGCGGGCCGGGACCCGTGTGGGCTTGGGGGGTACTTACGGTCAGCCAGAAATCCGCCATGCGCATGGCGCGCTCGTCCTTGTCCCCCCGCTTGGCGTAGTCGATGAGCTGCGGGGAGGAAGGAGGCAGCGGGTCAGGCAGGAGGCGGGGGTCAGGCAGGAGGCGGTGGGTCAGGGAGGAGGCGTTGGGTCAGGCAGGAAGCGGTGGGTCAGGGTGCCTGGGCTCCCCGCCGCCTCCCGCTCCCCCCGGCCCGGCCCGGCGCGGTGCCGCCGCTCACCCGCTCGGCGTAGCCGCGCATCTCGTCGGCCCGGGCCCACGGCGTCTCGATGCGCTCATGCCGCACCAGCGCCGTCACCAGGTTCCGCAGCAGGTCCAGGCGCGACCGCGGGCTGAGCCCGAAGCGCCGGTACACGCGGCCATGCGAGATGGCGGCCGCCAGCGACAGCCGCATCCCGCCGATCGCCYGCCCGCTCGGCCGGGCCGCCACCACCGCCTCCCGGCAGCGCCCGAGCGCCGCGCAGCTCGCTGGGAACTGTAGTCAGAGCCACACACTCCCGGAGTGCCGGAGCGGGTCCGGTTGGAAAGGGATCACAGCGGAACATCTACAGCCTCCCTGATGAAAAAGGGGCGTCCTAGAGCACACCGCACAGGAGTGCCTYCATGCGGCTCTCTTCTCCSRTGAGYGAGACTCCACAGCCTCTCTGGGAAATCTGTTCCAGCGCTCAGTCRCCCGAACAGTRAAGTTGTTCCTCGTGTKCSSGTGGAACCTCCTGTGCATCAGCYTCTGCMCGTTGCTTCGTGTCTCATTGCTCGRCACCACCGAGCACAGCCTKGTCCATCCCCTGACAMCTYCYTGCAGATWCTGACTGATGAGAGGTCSCCYCTCAGTCGGGTGTTCTTGAGGCTGAACACGCCCGGACGCCCGGCTCGATCAGCCTTTTCTTATAAAGGGTGCTCCAGTCCCTTAAGCACTTTCGTCACCCTATTCTGAACTYGCTCCAGGAGCCYCATGTCTCTCTTGCGCTGAGGAGCCCAGAACTRGACACAGCGCTCCGTGCWGAGTRGAGGGACACAGATGGGTAGATTACCACTCTCCACCGGCCGTCCCTGCTCTCCCTCAGGCAGTCCTGCCCGCAGCCGCGTACCGGGGCTCTGACTGGGGCAGGAACACACCCGGAGGAGCGGGAAGGTGCTGCGGGAGCAAAGGAGCCACGCCGCGTCGGTCCAGTGTCCCGGCGGTCCTCTGTTAGTTCTTTTAAAACTATAGGATGTGAGCTGATTAAACAGGCATATTTAGAAACGTCTACCTTTAATACACTGCTGCGTTAGTGGTTAAAATTAAAAGGACTGCATCGTTATGTCATATGACTACCATCTGACTTTCCCCAAATGCAGACATCAAGAGATTCTGCTCTTCATGAATTCTTGACATTTCTGTTCTGCTACTATCATACAGTCACGGAACAATAATATTTGCAGGATTCCCAGTACAACTGGGAACTCTTTTGTCTGCCTATTAATTGTTGGATCTGCTAAGCATAGATTTTTGTTTTTAATATTTTGCTTCCACTATCTACTTTCTGAAATCTAAGACAGTTGTTACTATGACTATTCCAAATTTCTTTTTTCTCTCCCTCCTCCCCTTTTATGTTTCACTATGACTTATAGWTGCTTTTAATTTTACTTTSTTTACAYTTTTACCCACATCCTGGCRATCCTGGATCCCGGTGGTGGAGTTGGATGGTGCCAGGGATGGCAGCCAGCCCTGCGGGATGCCAGCCCTGCTGCTGTCCCAGCGGCATAGGGTAGGCAGGGTGGGCTCTGCAAGGAGGAAGAGAAAAGCCGGGCTCCTCTCTCTCCTTCACCACAGCTGCGGGACACAGCCCACAATGCGCTCTTGGGGCTGCGGGGAGGGGTTCGAGCGGGTGTGTACCAGGGGCAGGCAAGGCCTGATGGAGCTGATGTGTTGTTCCCCCTTTTCCCCATGACTGGTGGCAGGATGCCGGAGAGCTCCAGACTCCYGCATTGCATCCCCAAGCTGTGCAGAGGCTGTACACACCAGCAGCGTGGGGTAGAGCTGCTGGATCCACCCTCATGTAGCCCTCGTGTGGCACAGGAGCCACCATCCGTCCACAGAGCAGAGGTGGCTGTCTGCTTTATTCCCACAAAGACTGAAACCCACTCTAGCCTGCAAGAGCTCATGCCCCAGAGTCAAAGAKCTATGACTGTCTATTTCAGGTCCAAGACAAATGCTAGAATGTGGTGTACGTAGGTTTCCTGCCATCTGTTCCAGCAAATATTGATGTGTTTCAGAGAAAGGGCAGTGTGTAACAAAAAACAGCTACCAGCAGTGTAAGAAAAAATATCTTTGTTATTATGAATACATCATAAAATCACAGTCATCTTATACACATTTTAGTATTTCATATATAAATAAAGTGAACAGTATAGTTATTGGAATGTGTAAAAGGAACAAATATATGGATTTTTTAATGTAAAATTAACAGAAAATTGGACCCCACCTCCATCTTTTGTTGCTGCTCTAGGACTTGGTACATTAACTCTGAAATACTTGTAGGCAGAAGGGCATACAGCTATGATGCCGACATAACGCTGGGCATTATCCTAATGACACTTAAAATGGATTTTCTTCCCTTTCTCCTAATTTAACCTCACAATATAGGAATTYTTGTGTGTCAATACTACAGCTTTGCAAGAAGGTCTAAACCTTTAWGTACTTAGCACAGAGTTGAAAGAAAACATTTTTCAAGATTCACAATTTTGTGAAACCCATTAACAATCAGAATTTTCCCATCACTACACACTCTTGCAAATGTTTCCATTAAATATATTTCTAATATTAATAAAATAACACATTMTTTATTAACCTTTTGCTTATAACTTGATGTCTTTACATCAAAATAATATTTCTTTCTAATAAAACTATACATAGCATTTATATGAAGCAAAGTTGCCATGTACATGAGCCTAGTAATTAGATATGCCATGAGTGTAGAAGTTTCTACTTTCTTGTTTTGGATTCTTGGGAGTGTTTGTTATTTTTGGAGCCACAGAGAGTAATAAATAATTTGCAAGGTAATGACTTCTCTGGCTACCAGTAACAAAATTTAAGACTGGAAATGATTCCTCTGTTCTGTCATTATAAAACATTGGGTATGCTGTAGAAAATTACCCTTTCTGAGTCTGTGTGTGTTTACCCTGAAAYCTTAGCGAAAAATTACTGAAACAATGTATTACAAGTTATCATACAGTTAATCAGAAAGGAGAAAGTTCTATGCAAAGATCTCAGCTGAATGCAGACCGAAGGCTGACCCTCCCCAGCTGTGCTCAGAGGGACTCTCCCTGTTGCAGGRATTGCTGTGTTGTGTTGGGTGGACTTGTCTTTGTCATATTGTCCTTTCCTCGCTTCTGGGGCTCAAACAGTTTTGGGGCAGGAAGTCTGGACAGAGGAGGGTGAGGACAAGGACAAACACAAACCCAAGAAACATGCTCTGTGACTCTTTTTTTTATGAAGCAAACACTGTGAAAGYCAAGGATGCCAGCTCCAGAAAGGGAAGTCACTGAGGTTTCCACTCAGACAGGCAGGTAAACACGTGTTATGTTTATATTCATGAAACTCTAGGTCAACTTTCTGCACTTACAGTGAAATATGTATTTTTTCTGCTTTTCTGGTACAGTCTAAGAATATTGCTTCCCCAGATACTTTTATAAAGCAGGGCAAATTCACCTCTCCCTGAATTTGATGGTCAAACTGTGGGAACTTCTCATTTGGTGTGTGTCTCTATTTGGAAAAGCAGAACTTAGAACTAAAATAAGTGCCTTTTTTTCAGTATATCTCACCTTGTGGGCAGGGGCAAATAGGATTTAATTGATATGTTGGAAGTGACTCATCAAACCTAAGTTAGATCATTCAGTATCTGATGGATACAGAAAAACCTGCAGCTATTAATTCTCTAGTGGGAACCAGCCTGATCCAGCAGGGTGCAGTAGTAAACATATACAAGAGTTCCCTAATTTACTAGATTTAAAAATACAGCATTTGACATTTAACAAATTTAATTAAATTTGCATATTCATAAATGATGCAATTTATACTCAGTTTCCTGTTTGAAAGTAAGAAAATGGGACATAAATGCCTCAGTTCTTCTGTCTTTGAGGTTTTTTTCCAGTCTGCAGCATATAGGACCTTCCCTCTTTTGGCCACAGCTTCCTTCTTCAAATCTCCCTTATTATGTCATTCACGAGATTACTTGGAATTACACTGCCACTCTGCAGTGGCTGGCAGAGCTCCTCCCAGACAAAGGAGAAGCCCAAGGACCACAGGGTGAGATTATTATAGTTTTTTTCAGGTATCCCCATGACTTAGGCTTGGCTTTATAAATACTGACATATTGTAACATGAAAAGAAATAGAGAATACTCATGTTCTTAAAAGCTAATGCCCTTGCTTGTGGTTTAGTGGCAGTGAGAAGTTGGGAAATGGCTACAAGAACGAACATATCCTCTTAAGACAATACAGAAGCTATGGAAAAGTCTAGACACATCTGTTCATACAGCATGACCTGCACTGATGGTGTCAGGATTACACCAACTCTCTTTTGGCCCAGTGAATRTGGAAGGGAATCCAAATCTATATGTATTATCTGAAAATAATTTATTCTACTAGAACATGCAAGCCCTGAAAAACATGGCAAAGTAACAACTTCTTTGCATTTGTAACATGGACACTACTGAACACTAAACATACTGTAGAAGTAGCAGCTACACAGACACAACATTCAAATTTTGTGCTTAATATTCTCTTCTATATTCTAAGCATGGCAAAGTCCTCAGCAGCTGTGGTAATCCAAAAGAAATGGTAACATACATCATCCATGAGGTATGGTGTAACTTGTGCATCCAATTTTCCAGTGTAAATAAAGGGCACTCCCTTTTATCCCCATTCACAAGTATAGGATCCCATGTGCGCTACCTCACCTTAGCCATCCTCGTACCAGATTAAATATTTTGTCATGTGCACTCCTGCACCTACTCACACTCCTCACACACCCAGCCAAACATGCTGCCACTGTGTTCCAGTTTGGTGAAAGACGTTTAGGTTGGTCTCATACAGCAGAGGAACGAAACAGCTTGGAAGCTCCTTGCAAACATGAGGCCTCTCTTTGGTGCTGATTTCACTCAGACTWCAGAATTTCACCAAGGAAGATATGCACCTGCAGGAAGTCAGAATCTGATTCTTTCTGCAAGGCTGGGATATATTTTATGCTTGCCAATAAGCCTGCTTGATTCMCTTTTGATTTGGTTTCTTGCTTTAAACATCCCCTTTATCTTGCTCATCTTTGTGTAATGTATCCAACATGAATCTGTTGAGAAAGGAAACTGGCCTTCACACTGAGCACTKGGACAATTGTAAAGAAAAAGTAGTGTTAGTTTAGGACAAAGACATCTTTTGACAGTCTTTGAATGATACTCTAGCAACACAAAGCCAAATAATTTCYAGATTGTGCAGCAGCACCCTTGTTTAACCCTTCAACATTTCTTTTTGCCCTTTTTTTTGCCATGATGGAGCATAATAGAGGACACATCTCACTTACAGCTGGTCTCTGCTGTAAAACAGGGATCCACTTTTGACACTCTCCTAAGCCTGGGGACAGTAGCTGGAGGCTTGAGTTCAGTGGTACAATGTATTTGCATTCGTAAAGTAACTGGACTGAGGTGTTCATTATTAACATCATTCAGGGATGATGTTCAGCTACCCCTCTGTCCCTGGCAAAATTTGGGTACTGGGTCATTTGGGCATAGAATGCAAGGCAGGCAGATGGAATGCTGTGGTCTGTGTCATTAGCTAGAGCATGCCTTAATCATGTTATATGCTAAGAAGGTTTTTCTTGATAGTCTAGGTACAATGCACAGTGCAGGCTTGGTGRTATGGAATTTCTGCAAGGAGGCTACCATGAACCAGGAAAGCTACAGTATAGGCAGCATGGTTCAGGAAAAGCAGAAAGAAAACTGGGAAATTATATATATATTTATATATATTACATTGTCAGTGCATTTTTTATATTGAAGAATTCTAAAGAGGCTTTGTTTTTCAGTAGGCATAGCTAAGGATGGTCTGCCTTCTGTATCCTGGCATTTCTGGATGCTGCCCGTGGTTTGTAGTCTTCTCCAGATCCAAAATCTACTGTGTCATGATAGTTTGTGAATTCCTGAGGTAATGGAAACTCCTCTGTTGATGAATGAGTCCTGTGTCCAAACACTCTCTCTTGCAGCTCAGCGATGTCGTTTCTGATGTCTGCCATCATCAGCAATAGGAAATCAAATGAACCCGGTGGGCCCTGCAGTCACAAGGCACTGTCATTATTATCAATCCACCTTGCTCTTACAGTTTTCAGACTGGCTGATAGAATTACTCTTGCAGGGGTTGTTCAGTAAAATAATGCTTTGTATTGATTGCCAAAAGCTAAYGGTCTGTTTTTTAACCAACTTTGCTCAGGAAACAATTTTCAAAAGAATCAAATGTTTTTACATTCAGAGCCTGCATTTACAAGACGTTCAGCACTTTTGTCACTTAACAATTCCTTGGCTTCCTAAGAATATCTTGACACCTCATGGGAAGAGAGGAGATAAATCTTGGTTCCTTGTCTTCTTGCTTATTAAACTGCCAGAAGTTACATTCTTAGAATGATTAATCAATAAATTCTTTTAAGACTGCTGTTACTTGGCAAATGTTTTTTAAATATGATAACCTTTCTGCTGTCCATCACTTACTAAATATATTGGTAGTTAAAATGCAGAGAGTATCTGATTTCATCATTATTTCTTTTTAGCTGAYTTCACACAGTAAAATAAACAATTTAATTCTGAGCACACCCTTCTGGGCACACTCTTAAAAATCAACTCCACCAATGTGAAAATACTGAAAGCAAATTAATAGAAACATAGAATGGTCTGGGTTGGAAGGGACCCTAAAGGCCATGGGCAGGGAGAGTTTTCACTAGATCAGACCTTTCTCAAAGCCCCATCCAGCCTGRCCTTAAACACTGCCAGGGATGGGGGATCCACMGCTTCTCTGGAYAGCCTGTGCCAGAGCCTCACCACACTCACAGTAAAGCATATACCCCTAATATCTGATCTAAACTCACCCTCTTTCAGTTTGAAGCCATTCTCCCTTGCCCTGTCACTACATGCCCTTGTGAAAAGTCTTTCCATCTTCCTTGTGGGCTCACTTCAGGTACTGMAAGGCCACAATTAGGTYATCCCAAAGCCTTCTCTTTTCCAGGCTGAACAATCCCAACTCTCTTAGCCTTTCCTCAGGGCAGAGGTGCTTCATCCCTCTAATCAACTTGGTGGCCTCCTCTGGACTTGCTCCWACAGGTCCATGTCCTGCCTGTGTTGGGGAGTCCAGATTTTTAAAACAGTTTCACCTGGAAACAGATTGTCATTACTCATTCCTACATCTGAACTCAAAACCTATAGTTTCTCCAATCCATGAGAGATGAAGGACAGGATTTTAAAGGTTCCAGGGATCAAATTCCCATTGGGATCAAAGGTTGAACTGTAGTAACTAGCATTCTGCATGGTCCTGCCTTCTGAGGGTGCTCCAATACCCTTGTAGGGCAGAGGGGCACCATTACCTTTGGTCACACACCCAGAAAGGGAAGAGGATTATAGGGAAAAACACTTGGATGAAAACAGGTAATTGCTTTCTTCCCAATTACATATTTTGTATATATAAAGTATCTATTCTCTTGGCACAGGAATTTTTTTAACTTTTGGCTGACCTGTAGTTAGCAGTCAACCTCACTGTTGTGGAAATTCCTCCTGTTTGGAATACTTACAGGTATCCCCTTTGGTCCTGGTGCTCCTCGCTCCCCCTGTAATCAACACCACCTCAGTTAGTTTGCTAAGTGACTAAAGGGAATTAAAAAGTCACTGTGTGCCTCTGCAGCCTCCCTTACTTACTGTCCCCAGATCAAGAATCATCAGCTGATGTTTGTTGGAAAAAGAAAAGGAAGTGAAGGAGAAATGCAAGGAAATTGCTGCTGATTGTAGTGGGAGCAGAGTGGGGCATTTCTGGTATTTCTCCTGGACAATAACAATAATAAGTGAATCAATGAACAGGAATAATTCATAATGAATTAAAAGGGTTAAAGCATCAACGTTTCTTCATGGAAAACCCAAAAGAGAAGCAGAGAAAGAAAAGAATGCTGTGTGATATACAAYCTGGCAGGACTATTAGCAAGACTTTAGGAAAGGCAAACAGAAAATTGCAGAAGAATGACATGAAGGATTGGAACAACAGGATGTGTTCATCTTAGCAAAGAAAACGACATGGTAAAAGGGTGTGACTACAGGTGGATAGAATTTCTCTCTAGTAAGCCTGCACTTCCCATGTGTGTGCCCATCTTATGGAAATTAGTACCTCTCCTCACCTTGCTACCATCTCTCCCTGGAGCTCCAGGTGGGCCCTGCAAGAGAAAAGAAAGTGTTCACAAGGCTGTGAGAAGTTGTTGAGCTAAGGGCAGTTGTATAGAGCATGACAGGAGACAGGAATACTGACCACGGGGCCCCTTCTGCCCTGCTTGATGTGTGATATGTCTGGAGATGGGCCCATAGGTCCCATTGATCCACGAGGGCCTGGCTGTCCAGGAGGTCCAGGCAATCCAGGAGCTCCTGGACTCCCTTTAGGTCCTGGAGCCCCTGAAATCAAAAGCAAAAGTTATCTGACAGGGAAAGCCTTCAGGGTACTTCATCAGCACAAGAAGTGGAGAATGACCATTTTTTTAAAGAGCCAAAGGCCTGGTTATTTTAACACACCCAAATCCACAAATACACAAACGATATATCTGCATCTGCATGTAAGTAGCCTCCTGAGACAACACCATCCCTTATCACAATAGCTACAAGRCATGTTCTCCAAATAGTTAGATCTCATGTATAAAAGAATCCAAGTCTGCCACTGCCAGATGCTTAGGGACACAGAGTGGGAATGAAAAGAAAAACAGAAATGCCTCATTTCCACACAAAGAAGAACAAATAATATTTGAGRAACATCTCATAGAAAGAAAATCTCAGAAAACTCATGGGAGTTTTGGGTCATGGGGCTCTGCTGACACAAGCAAGCTCTTTCCAGTGGGGGCTACACCTCTCTKTTGCACAGTGCACAGACAATGTGTTAGGGGCAAAAGAGGCTCTGTTCTTCTGTTTTGCTTTATGCCATTTTCAGCTTCTGCTGCTTCAGCAGAGCATGTTRCATTTTAGGAAGCACTTAGGCAACAAAACACATGTTTAGCTCAAAAGAAATGCTAAGAAACGTAAACCAGAAAAATCAGGCATCTGAAACAACGTTTGCAGACAATAAAGACTGTTAAAGTGTCACTAGCTGAAACTCTTCATGATCAGAGGGGGAAACACTTCTCTTCATACTGAGGATGCATGAAAGATGCAGAGAATGAAAGGCAGCGAGTAAAAAGGATTCATCAGGAGTGAGTATGTACAGTYAGGGTTTTCAAAAGGAGGCAACTCAAGTTCAGTGATGACTCCCTGTGACTCTTTTGGGGGGGCAGCAGAGGAGGCGAACAGGGATGGTTTTGGGGGCAGCAGAATTCAACAGCACCTCGGACAGCTCAGTCATGGGGAAACCCARTGGGTGGGACACCTGCAGGGTCAGGCCTACCATGGAGGGGTAGCAAAGCATCCCACTGTGCCCTTCAGAGTCTATTGCAGAACCTCTAAACATACTGTCCTTATACTGACAATAAACTGAMGACTGAAGATACTCATCTTCCAGGAAAATGAGATAAAGATTCAGAAAACAAAGCAGAAGGGGGTATAAATGGGAGGGTGGTGTGCAGTTCAGGACAGAGTAAATCAATCTTTGTAAAGAATATTTGCCAATACTCTGTAACAATCTCTCTGAAGTCCAGCACAATGCTAAAGTTCCTTGGGTGTGCTGTATAACCTAAAATTAGGTCTGCATTCAACAGAATTTGTAAAATTTTGAGTATTGCTGGCTGCCAGGTGCAAGATGTGTGGATTAAGTTTAAGCTTTAGGAGCTCACTGTTTCATTTTTTTTTCCCCACATTGTTTCAATTTATAACTCAGCAAAGAAGGAGTGAGTGGAGTCACACTTTTCTTTTCAGATTCTTTTGAATCTGGAATGCAACATAGAACCAACAGATGAACCCTTGAAAATCAGGCAAGGAAAAATAATAGAGTTGGCACAAACTCCCACAAACTGAAAGCACATTTTCTGCTCTCGTGCTGATAGTGAGCTAAAGCAATAGATATTTCTGAAATGAAATGAAGAGTGTTTTAAGACGGGGTTAAAATACAGGAAATCACAACTGAAGCAGGCGAGATATCCCAGGGAGAGGGAGAAATTTAACTGATGAGAAACAAACACAAACTGCACGCCAAGGAAGACATGGAGTCACAATGGATGATGATAGACAATTGGCAGAGGCTGACCAGAACAACCATAAACTGGTTGTTTGTATTTTGTTTTTTTTTTGACTTAACACAAATCCAAACAGAATATATCAATCACAATGCGAAACATGAAATCATATCACACTGGAAGACTAAAATTTACTTTTTTGGTTCTAGCACTACTGCACATTCACACCCCTCTGGTCTTACCTGGAGGGCCTGGTTGGCCAGGCTGGCCTGGGGGGCCAGGGATGTATGCGTTAGATGCAAGCACTTTCTCACCAGTGATTTGCTTGCTAAGATCAGCAGCATTATTTGGCAGCAAAGCAACCTGCCAGAACAACACAAAAAAAACCCCAACTATGTAATACCTTAGTTGTTCTGCCAGATAAATCACATTCTTATTTAAGCTTTCATGTGAACAGTTGTTTAAATATTTCAGGAAAATAAAAATTGTTCATTCATATACTTCGTTGACATAATCAGAAAAACATTCTTATTTTGTGATTCTGTTCACTTTCCAAGTCACAGTGGAAATAGTGCAAGCCAATCCAACAGAGGACAGGAGAAACTCAGGAGGGACATAGCAACAAATTTTGAAAAACATGAGTCTCAGAACTGCTTCTCAGGGAACTTATTTTTCCTTATCTGAAGTTTACTTATTTTCTGTCTTTTCTCAGGGCAACATTTGCTTGGATATTTAAGTTYTGAATTGTTGCACGAGCTACTAACTTTCCATAGGTTTTAATGAAAACCCCAAATCCTTTGTGAATCTGACCCTAGAAATTAATCACTCTATTTATCCCAACAAATGTCTGGATCTGCTCTGCACAGAGACACAAAGATAAAGTAAGTGAGAATGTAAGAATTGTACACTATAGTTGAAAGTATCATCATCCATTACGTGTTAAATTACCCATAAAATATTAGTCTATCCAGTTGTATATATGTAATAATTAAATATATTTAGAAATATTCTGCAAATGTTTGGTCTCTCCAGAGGCAGCTGAAGGGAGAAGACAAGCCAGAAGGCTGGTCTGCAGTGAGGAAAGAAGTTTATTAGTGGTGAGTGGCTGCATGTAGACTTGGGGATTTTGCTCTGCCAAATGAATTTTAAAAGCTATTTCAGCAATACCAGTGCAGACCTACCCCTGGGTGAGTTTTGTTGCTTCTTGAATGAATTTGGCTTGCTGCATAATTTGATGCTGAATTCTGCAACCTTTGCCTGGGAGAGCTGCATTGAATGAAATAGATGATGTTTCCTGCTATCTGACAAATCTTTTGATAAGCCATCTGGAATTCTCTGACCTGAGCTGTTCACAAGAGTCCTACCTGCTTTCTGTAATTATTTGACGCACTTTCTTCTGCTATTACTGCAAACCTAATGTTTGTAAGGCAGAGGGGAAAAACCCCAATGCTATGCACCTGCAGTACCTACTTGGACCAATTTCCTTTRGCAAAGTTATTGCTTAAGGAATACAATTTAAAGGCAGCCAGTGCTGCTTSTACTTTGGGGTTGAATACACAGAACAGTTCTGAAGACAAAAAAAMAAAMASSARRAAAAAAAAAAGTTGGAAATGCTGAGACAGTCCCAGTGGCATTTTCAAAACAGCAGTCTGATTTTTGAGACTCAAAATGTGATGACAGGAACACAAGAGTTTATCAGTCATTTGTGAGTTAGGTTTTGGAGAGCAYTGTAGTTCCAAAGACAAGATGACTGCACTACAGGCAAATTATGGATCATGATGTAAACCTCACAAGGATCTGGTAGATTTACTCCACCCCTGCAGAAGTCAGTGKCTGGATGAGGTCATATTTTCACAGAAGTCCCAAAGGGTGTTTCTTTTATACTAAATCCTATGAATGTGCTCGCAAAGGAAATGGGGGCTCAGCACACCTATGGCTCTGTGATGAGCTGGCATCTCTGGTTTTTCAAAGCAAAACTTGGTTTACCAGTGACCCTGCAGCTTTCTCAGCCAAACTCCCAGCAATTGCAGCACAGACCAGACTGGGGCACTRCTGAAGATGAAAGGGCTGCTCTGTGGGTCACAGCACCCTGCCCCTCAGGCTGAGGAACACAATTCAATAGCTGGGGATTCTCACAGCTACACTGGCCAGAGACCAGCATGGCAAGGTCTACTGGCTGGCTCTGGTCAGTAAAATTTTGCTTCCTGGAGGTGTGTCTCCCCTGTCCAGAGCAGGTTCCTTGCTGTACATGAAGGAAAGACATGCAAGGACCACCATGCTGCAAAATGTCCACTGAGTGGCACAAATCAGCCAAGGACTCTGCAGTGTCAGAGCTGCCATGCTAAAACAGAGACACAAAGTCAAATCCTGTGGCTGTCTGAGAATATRATACTTTTCAGATAGTTTTTGTGAGAATATTTTCAATGTCATCAGKGAGTGCTTCTCCTTAGGGGTGGCCACAACTGAGTGACAGGTTAATTGAAGTCTTGTTTTTAGCTTGTGTGTAAATTTCTCAACATATTCATTCTGGGGATCTATTGCTGTATTAGCAGATAAACAGATATCGTTCAGTACATAGACCCAGCCATGAATCCTCTTGAGGTTACGCTGCAAATGATCAGGCTGGAGTAAAAAGGTGCATTTAGTGGCAAAGACTCATCATGAGGAAGATTTGGAAATGTATTCTTTTCTGATGCTTAAATATTTACTTGTTCCTGCCWGCAAAGCTGTTCTAACAACTGAGTTAGAAAAGAAATCACATAGCTGCTGTGAAAGCATCTATGCATGCTTCCCCACTGAGTCAGCTGGACTAGAAGTGTACACTAGGAGTGCCAAAATACCCAGGCTCTGGTCTAGCTCACTGTTCTTTGATATCTTCTGGCCAGAAAAATGGTTGTTACTTGCACTAGGCCAAACCATGTGTTTTTGATGTTAACTCATATCCTCTTAGGTATTGRCTATATTCACTGGTCTAATTTTTGTTTCACCTTTTAACTGAACCAGGATCCTGGTCCAGGGTGACCTTGGTTTTCTCCATCTACAGCTCCAAATCTTAATGGCCCTTAGAAAATAACAGTTGTTTGGTTTTTTCCATGTGCAAGCAAATATTAGCGAGAGTATATTTTAAAGAAAGACTGTTCTAGAAACAAGACTTCCATGTGCTGTGTTACATGCTGCCTTTGGAGTTTTGAATAGTTTCTAGGAGGTCTGTGGTTTAGAAAATTGGACAGTGCTTGTCAGGAGTGATGTGGAACATGGCTTTCTAATTAAAATGTTTAAACATATCTGTGCAATAGGATGAAACTTCCTTGTGTTTTTGGTTTTTCTTTTTTTTTTAAATTATTGGCTCTGTGTCAATATGTCAGATATCTCCCCCAGAGTTTTTCAGCTTCCCACTTTTCTTCCTTTCATCAAGGTCKTAGATCAACCTAGGACTGCCCACAGACCTCTAGGCTATCAGGACAATGCATATCATTGGATACCAGGCTTTTCTGATAACCACGATTTTGAATAAAGTTCATAAAATCTGAAAGCCTTAACCACAAGACTGAAGATTCATTCCATAAACTGTCTCCCTGGCAGACAGAAATGAACTTTTCTATGTGAAACAAAACAACATTAACCACAGCTATTGAGAGACATCCTCCCCAGGAGAACTTGGCAYGGGGTGTGGCTGGTGAAACATGAGGGTTGATGTCTCCCTGGGCAGAGAAGCACCATGAGGCCAGATCTTAACTCAGCATGGACAAAAAGCTCTCCTCTCTGTGGGGTAAAATTTGCTGAGGGTGTAGGGAATCTCTTCTAGCTCTTTCTCTGTGGAGCACAGCCCAGTGAATTCCCTCTGAGAATGCCATATAGATAAGTCTCACTAGGAAGATGCTGGGGGGAAAATTAAGCTATGGATTATAACAGGAYTTAGCTATGAAGCAAGATTAAGCTGCTTAATTTGTCCACAGCTACTGTACAAATGCCCACAGTGAGAGGTATCAGTAGTCTGAGTTTTTCTGGAATGACTTTTGAACAAAGGTATCYAACAGAAGAAGTTAGACACAGAAAACTTTCCATTAATTCCACCAGTCTTGCAGCAAACAGTGTGGCCAAAAATGTGACCCCCAGATCCCTCCCTGGAGGTCAGTGTGAGCCTGCTCACCATCATGGACAACAGCTGGAGAAACAGCCACTCAAAATCATGGACCCATTTTTAACCWCTCTGATACCATTTTTTTTTTTTTTTTTGAGAAAACAGAAATTCCATCACACATGAAGTTCTGTCGCTTTCACATTTGTGTTCATGCTGATTCAGAAGGAACACACAATGTTTTGAGATTTTGAAGATAAAGAGTATCTCCAACCTCACTGAACTTCTTTTTAATGAAGCAGATTTCTTTCTTCCTTATATCAAATTAAAACATCAAATGTGATGAGTGAATGCGCTAAATTGTGTTTTGACACAATGGAATGAAATTAAATGAGTACCCTGGGTGAAATAATTACAGCCTGTCAGCATGAATTGCTGGGAATATTCCTACAGATTGTTTCAATTTGAGAAAACCTCAGTGTTCAAAGGAGATGTCGCCAGAAAAGCCATTATGCTTCCATCCCTGCATTTGGCTCTCCAAATCTGAGGCCAGGTCTTTGCATTATTTCAATCCTACTAAAGTGCAAAATGAAGCTRCATATAGGAGCAATGAAAGCCCAGGAGAAGTTCCTAAAGGCACTATTCTCTGCTTGCAAGGGAACAGGTGAAGATAAAAAAGGTCTGTGACTGAGGGCTTGTTTTTTTTTTTTTTTTTAAGGAAAGTAATATTTAAAGCTAGTGATATTTTTGTTTAGCCCCACACCTTTTTGGCAAGAATCCTGTATCGGCACCCTATTAATACAAAATCATGTTCCTGCATCTACGAAATGTCTTGCATTTGCTTACTCTGAARGTGGATCATGTCCAAAATCCCGTGCACTCAGAGTGAATGGAAAGCTCAGGCCAGCACAGATTGCCAAGAAACCTGGGCTCAGCCTGGGATGGGTGTTTGCCAGATTCTGTTACCACGAGCTTGGTAACACAGCTCCATGAACTTGGGGAGCAATCTGCTTACAAGTCGTACAGAAGCATAAGGGAGAGATGCCATTCCTACAYGATTTTCAAATATATTGCCACCCTCTTCATATGTACAAAAATCACATGTCAGTGACAGCTTCAAACACTGAAATGAACCTCAGTTGTAAGATGTGCAGGTCTGGTAAAAACATGACTGATCAGCGTTCATACCTTTTGCTTCAGCTGTAAAACCGTCTGCTTTATTTGATGGAATTCCTTACAAGATGCACAGCATGTCCCTGGTTTTGCCACATTTTCAGATTTCTCAGGAAGCACAGCTGAAAGAAAGCCGTTTCCAATATAAATATAAAGATCCAAAGGAGAGAAATTCATAAAGTGATGGCAAAAGCAACTTGAAGGTTGTTACATTTCCCCAGACTGTGATAAGAGAATCTTGCCATTATTAAATCTTTGACTGTGAATTTCTATGTAAGGCTGAGAAACTTTGCAGGGACAGTTCTGAGCKCATTTTTAAAGCAGCTGTTTCCAGTTAACAGTCCCAAAGAATTCATTTTTTTAATACCTGGAAAAGTTCACACCCTTTCTTTTATCTTTTTGTTTAGGGTAGACTAACCCCACAGATCTGAACTGATTTACAGTCCCCTGAAGGGCAAATTTTCATATGCTATAAATTACGGTAAAATCCCTCACAATATGGTTATTTTGCTCATTTTGCACAAACTTCTCTTTATCATCATGGGTTATTCTCCATGTGATGGAATCAGCCTGAGCAGAGATGGGGATTGAGATTAATGACAGGGATTTAAATYCATGCAAGAGGAAGGGTCACATCTGTTGATACTACATATGAATGGGATCTTTTCAAGAATCCATTAAATTATTTGAACTGTGAGAGATATTGCAAATGTTATTTCTGTCCTTTTCCCAGTACCATACACAGTCAAGCAGTTCTGCACTGCAAGCAAACAAGCATTGTTGTAACAGATGTCTGCTTAAAGAAAAATCTGGTTTCCAAACTACAGGGTGACACATACGGGCAAAYTCTGGGTGAAGTTTTGTTCACTTCGACATTGCTGAGAAATATCAAATGTTCTGAGTCTCTGCCTACAACCTGTGGCCTTGTATAATGTTACCTGGAAGGGTTGCTGGGCATGTTTGAACATTGACCTTTCAGAGCATGTCCTGCAATGGAATAACTCTGCAAGCACTCCTGGTCAAAGACAGGGAATCTTCAAAATCGTCCAAAAGGATCAATTGCAAATCACTGTGTTATTGTGTTACATTTCTCACACGGACACACCCTTAAATGGCCTTCGACCTTTTGGAAATGTATTGATTTTCAAATATCTGCATCTTTTTAAATGAACCCYGAAGCCCCTAATACTAAAAATATTATGTGCTACCTGGCTTAAAATATTTGTAGGGTTCAGTAAGGAAGATTGCATCCATCTGATGGCTATCTATGAACCACTTATGCACATATTCACAAAAAACTGATTTTCAGCATGTTTAGCCCATTGGATATAATGATTTATCACGTGTGCTTGCTTTTAGAAGACAAAAATTTATCTCACTTATCTGCTATTCAGTTAGGAGAGGGCTGTAAGGGAAAGATTCTGGAATAACAAAGAGGATTAAGACTGGTATTAGTCCTGAACTGATCAGGACTAATTGGGACAAAAAGGCTTGGGTTTTTTCCCTAGTCATGAACTGMCTGTTCCCATGGCTGCACTCCAACAGCCTTACAATATTACACATATTATTTACCATTTTTATGGCAGCAAACACATGCTGCTGTCTGAGCTTCCCAGCCCTTTCTGACTGCACAGCCTTGGTACCTGACCAACTTTCTGTGCAGTGTTCAGTTGGCTCAAAGATTTAAGGCCGGGAGATACAACTTGGTGTTTTCCAATAAACTCTACAGAGCATGGAATAGAATTTCACCAAATTTCAGCTTTGCTAGAACCAAGACATTATCGCACAAGACCTCTCAGAGGAATTTYAGGATTTTTGTGAAAACACCTCAACATGCAGCTGCTTTCCTTCTTCTCTCCTGTATTCTTAATGGTAATCATTTTGCCTTTGAATCCCTTCAAAGCCTCTTTGCCCATAAGTCTTTCTTTGGTAGCGAAATAATCTTCACCATGCAGGGCTTTTTTTTTTTTTTTTTTCCTTAAGAGGAAACTGATGTGCTATAATGAAGATATCTCTTGATATTTCTATAAAATAAATTTTCTCTTGACCACAAGTCAGTTTTGTGGAGTTCTTCCTCCCTCTCCAATTTTTCATCTTCCTTTAAAAAAAAACCCAGCGTCTTCACATGTCCATTTTTGGACATGTGTAGGAGCTAYAGATGCATATATATGAAGCCATTAGAAAAAAAATGTCCTTCCCTCTCCCCTGCCCCCCCTTTTTTAGTCACCAATAAGGTCTGGATTTTGTATGAGTCTCAACAAAAATTTCTTTTAATAGCTATCTCACCAAATGAGTTCTATCATTGTGTTATGAAATGTTGCTGAAAGCAACATCCAGTCATAGGGAGAAATTGCCAGGGTCTCTGCTCTTGGAAACCTGACACAATCCCACCAGAATCAGTGGAATTATATGCAGATTAAGAAGCGGCAAATTTGGCCTCATGTTTCATTATAAAATCCAGTTTAWCTTGCAGAAGGATGTGGCACACGGGGCTGACGAGTACAGATAAAACAGGGCTGTAACAATCCATGATGAATGCTGCGGGGGATCAGCTAATGTTTGGGAAATGTCATTCCAGTGAGGTTTCTGCAAATCCAGTTGGATTGACTTGTAGGAGGAAGAAGTCCAACATCCTTGTACAAGCAAGCATGAGCTGTCTCCCAGGAGAGAGGTGAAATCCCCCTAACTCATACCAGACAGAGGTGATGATTTGCCCAGGGAAGGAGTCATCCATCAAACATTCGCTCTACCCCCATCCAACCCTGTATCAGGACCAAACTACGAGTAAAGCCAGAATAAAGCGTGGATAAAGCCAGAAGACACCTAGGACAGGCCAGCGGGGGCAAAAGGCCATTAGACTGAGCCACCCACGCATGGTGCAGAAACTGAGGTCACCTACCAGGTCAGCTGGGCCAGCATTGAGCAAGGCCCTTACATAACCCGTTTCCATTGCACAGAGCTACACAAGGAAACTGAAATTATCTTGGAGAAGGCTTAAACCAGCCCCATTTTACAAAGGCATCCCAGAACACAAAGTCTAGCTCMCGSATGATGYTGCTGTSCTGAYGGKGGTCCTTTTATCTTGGTGAGACGCTGGTGAGCCCTGTGGCCCCTCCTGCTAAGGGATCTGCTTGGGGGAGTGATGTGTTTTCTGTGTGCACGGGCTCTGGGGCTGGGAGAGGAGGAGATGCTGGTGGGGGAGAGCTCTGCGGGAGCTCTGCTGCGGGCAGTCCTCACACRGAGCCTGCTGAGCCCGTCATCTGTGCTGCATTATCTGGGCTCAGCCTGCTGARATGGTTTCATCTGCCCAATTCTGCACGGGGTAGCTGTATTGTCTCCATCAAACGTGACTGTGGATGCAGAAAAAAAATGCTCCCGGTTCTTGTGTCCACTAACCAACCCAAAACTCTCTGTCCAGCCACTTATGGAGACAGAAAAAGCGACCACATTGCAGCTACTTGCAGAGCCATGAAAGCGCCTGAATTGCATCCTTCGGGCACGGAACAATGAAAACACGGCTGTATCTCCCAAAAAACACACAGCCTCGTTAGAGATGGAGAGGGATGCACGTGTTTTTGGCTCTTACACTCAATTTTAAATTGAAATTTAAGTGTTTCGGCTACCATGAAAAGCAAATCTATTTATTGGGACGGATGCGGTGCAGGGCTGGGGTCGGCCGCGGGGTGGAGCGTCGCKACAGCTGGTTCCTTACACAACCCCTTTCCTTACAGCGAGTTACGGACACAGCTCCTCTCATTTTCATCAGAGRTCTGAAAATTCATAACGTTTATGTGGAGTGCAGCGGGCCAGCTAAGCAGAAAGCAACCTTCTTTGCTTTGCACAGCTGATTTTGGAGATATTTGGAGATCTGGTGGGTATTTCATCCCAGATTATCTGCTCAAATTGATGTTCCAGTGTCCCTGTGCTGTGTACATTCAGTGTAAAAATGGTGGTTTTCAAATAGTAGAATTATTTCCACAGCCTTGAACATTTTGAATGGTTTGTTATCGTGAATGCTTTGGACATTACTGTATCAAGAAATTTGAACTACCCAGGGGAAAGGTTAACAAAATCCCCCTATTTGTAAGGGGGGATTATCTAGGTTATATCTCTTTCCTTTATCTTATACACATGCACACACACGCACATACACACATACACACACATTTTCAAAAAATATGTTTGAAATCTGCAAGGAACAATTAAAGCTAATGGAGTAGCTCCAGTTACACATTTTCTGATGAAAATCAAAATTATAARTTGCTCTGGCCAACCAGTGGGATTTGGATTGACCTGTGATATCACATTCAGGCATTAATTGATGAACCTATGGTAAGTCACCATTCATCAAAAGCTGTTGGGTTCGCTTCCTTCTTTCTTTTTGAATTGTCATATCAATATTTAATCTAAGTATTCTAAATGCTGTAATTTGAAAACTGGGATGGGGTCAAAACCTTTAAAATCGTTCATACACAGCACACACATACACTTTGAACCAATGGTGAAAGGCAAGAACAAGGCCTTACATTTACCCCTTTTCCATCACATTTCATTTTCAAAAAATAACGAAAAGACGGAAGAAAAAAAAAATCTGACCTCAGCCAAAGGACACATGAGCTAATTGCAGATCAGCAGGATTTAGTCTTATTCAATGTAATTTAGAAATTTGACTTAAGCAATGCTTGAAAAGTGTGTTGGACTCCCAGGCACATGTTTTCTGAGCCTCTAAGGGCCAAGGTGCAATAGCCATGCAACCCAGGGCCGTTTGCTAATCTCAGATGTGGGTGTGTAAATACAAATTAAAATTAGTGAAATTATTTAAATAACAGGTCAAATTAATGAGATATTTTAAAGCTCATCATCTGGTAGTATTTTTTTCCTATGTCTCCTTAGCTCTGGACCACAAAAAAGGTATAATCCAGATTGTTATTGGAGCAAATTATGGCTTTTAGTAGCTGGATCCAGCAGAAATTATCCAACTGAAGCTGTAATAGTAAACTTCACTGTTCAGCTGTTCTGCCTGCCTAGGGGAAGGTGCTTTCCACATCCTCCAGCRTGTTTGTGCATTGGAGGAGAGAGTGTGGCAGGGCTGCTCCACAAGTGCTCAGGTGCACAAAGAACAGCCAGGCTGCCCCAGGAGCATCAGCTACATTCCAGCTTTGGACCCCCAGCTCCAAGTATAGCACTGGAAGCAGTTCCTCTTCATGACAAACCGACTCTTTAGACTACCAGCTGTCCCAGCACTTTTAACCCGCACTAGCACCTGCCTTTATCTCCTTTGGTGCATGTCCTGCCATCCTCCTCCCGGACGTAGCCTTCGTGACACTCGCACCTGTAGCTGCCCACGGTGTTGACACAGATCTGAGAGCACAGAGTCCCGTTGCTCGTGGCACACTCGTCAATATCTGGGGAGAAGCAAAAGGTAAAAATGTCCTGTAGCTGGAGGTTTCAGACCTCAAATATAATCAAAGACTTCCGTTAGAGGTAAAAAGGTATTTTTGTTAAATGAACAGGTAATTGCGGCACTGCTGGAGCMTTTGGTCTGGAGCTCTGTGCAAGCTGCATTATTTATTATTAACACACCTGGCATTTTATCAGTTAACATTGCATTGAAATATATTATATCAGCTAACATTGCTTGACAGGCTCCTCACATTGAAAAGCTCTCAAGCAAAGCTACATCCTGCCAACCTGGGCTCCCTGGAACAGCAAACCATGCAGGGCAGGGCAGGGCAGGGCAGGGCAGATCAAGCCACACCAGGACCACATGTAAATGATCAATCCTGAATTAGATACTGGCCACTTGAAACAAGCCCCAAGCATTAGTTTTCACAATTAGGCCTGATGGTAATCCTCCACTATTCAGCAAATATGGCTTATAATCTGCAGGARGAATTAAAGGAAAARTAACATCAGCCCAGCACTTCCAAGYGTTTGGGTKTGTATGTCTTGCTATGGGTAATACCTCTTAATAATTCAAGGGAAATCTAGATCTCTCAATTCTGAATGCAGTAATCCTTTCTTTTCTTCTTTTATAATATTGAGAATAATAAAGGTTTCAGATTCAAATTGACTCCTAAAAGACTCAAGGGAGCAGCATACATCATTAATCAGGGACGAGCTCAACATGCACATCTACCCACCCAGGCAGTAAGGCTTCTCTCTGTTCCTGTGCCTCTCCCGATCATAGCGGTATCCAGGATAGCAAGTGCACAAGACTCGCCCAAAATTATCTGTGCACTGCTGTTCACATGGAGCTTCAGCACAGACATCGTAGTCTAAGGGAGAGAAAAACATTCTTAGGAAAAATGCCAATGGCAGTAGCTGGATGCCACTTAGACAGCAAATATTTCACCTCTCTGGTTGTTAATACAAAATGGAGTTATATTGTTTTTAAGGACTGAAGGAGTCTAGATATAAAACATTAATGCGCCATAAGAAAATAATTATTAAAATTGSAGTTGCTATTCACATCTTTACAATAGTTAGACTGTTTCTTAAAGTTGGATTTTAAGCATCACATTTGCAGTTGGCAGAATTAAAGAATTCTTTTCACAGAAATATTGAATTACCTAAACCTTTTGCTGTTTTCTTTGACAGATTTTTAAGTCTGATAGAAACATTTCCTATGCAGAATACTGTGAAAAACCACGAAACTAACTGCCAAAGGCAGGCAGAAAGTATATCACAAGGAAATTATCACATGTTAATTGTTCAAAGACAGATATTCTTCTTCTAGCAAAGAATGCATTGTTCCAAAACCATCATCTCACTTAATAACAGCAGAGAGTAGATTAGGGTATGTCAGTGAAWTCCCAAAAGACTGAATTCCCTGTTTGAAACCCAAGGGAGGGAAAATCTGTTTTTAATTTCACTGCTATATAGCAGCAAAGCTGAAGTCTGGGGAATGGACACCAGARCACAATGGGGTCTGACCCTCATCCTTGTCCTGCCAGGGGCTGGATTTGGCTCCTGGCATGAATGCTGGTGGCAGGGCTGTGGGGAGAAAGACAGCTCCCAGCCAGGGGTGTGAGGGTTTTGCAGCAGTATGGGGAATATCGGCCAGGAGACACCGGGACCTGGAGTGGCATCTGGTCTCAAAACCAGCTTGGGCAGGGTGTGCCCGAGCTCGGGTTTCACACCAAAGCAAGCGGCAGTTTCTGTGACCTTTTCAGAAAACATCACCCTGCAGAGAGCATCCAGGTGGCTGTGACTGGGTACAGGGGCCACAGCAGAAATATCTTGTTCATGCTCCAAACCAAACACATCCAAACAAAATCTAAGTGTTTCAAGCGAGTTYCCAGCAAAGCACTGTGTTTCCATATACATAATTAAAACCCAATCTCGTTATTGACTCACCCTAATGACTAGCAGATACCTCTGGGTACAATGATTTTTTCCATTAAAATGAGCTAAGAGATGGTAAAGCAAATGAAGCCACATTTTCTGTACAAGTACACGGAGCACATGTGTAGCACTGGGGTTAAAAGCGACAGTGTGCCAAAGTACAGAAATGCACAAAACGAGACTTAACATGATGCTGCCTCTCACGCCAGAGCCCCTTAGACAAAAACATGCTATTGTTACAGACATGTTACTGGAAGAGTGCCAAGCATTCTGCTTGTCACCTTTTGGATAACGGAATCCTTTCCTTCCTTTTTGCTTCACTGCTTGAAGTTTGTCCTCAGTTCTGTGGTAGTGAATGGAAATGCAAGGACTCCCAGCAGCAATCAGGGTGAAACAGTACAGAGTCATGAAAGGAAAACASAGCTCTTGCCTTCAAACTGTTCAGTCTGGGGGTAGTTTGGACTCTTTAGGTGATGCTGGGGCTGTAAACTCCTGTTACATTTGGCACTAGTAAATAGTCCCAGCTATTAAGCATTGCTGCTGTTTTTCCTGGGATTGGTTGCAATTTTCATTTTCCACTGAARTAAAATCAGAGAACAGGATGGTATGCCCAGCATGGAGGTGAACATACTACTCCTTAGCCAGAATACCCACTCAGGTGTGGGACTTGGCCTGTGCCTTGTTCAGCCATTCAAAATGGAGCAAAACAGGCTCTGGTCTCCCTGTGCTTCCATGGATAAATGTTCCCAAACAAAATCAGAAAAAATCAGAGCTGGAAGGGGCCATCTCCCATCACTAGCTGTTTCCTAGTTTTCCTTTTCCCTGAGGGATGGATATGGCCTACCATGCAGTCCAGTTCTAAGATGAAATATCCTTCCAGRCAGAAAGCTTTTTACTCATATCTAATCCAAACTCCCCTTACAGCCACTTAGGCCCATTATTTTTGTCCTCTTCTCCTTGGCCATAAAGAACAGTTTACTTTCCCTCTTGCAGCAAGTTTTCACATACCTAAAAACTGTTATCACATCTCCCCTCCGCCTCCTTTTCTCTAGACTAAACAATRCCAGTTCTTTTTATCCTCCTGTCACCCATATTTAATGTAGCCACTCTTTAAACATGATTTTCGTGTCCACCTCAGCACTGTTCCATCATGACCATTGCCTCATTTACTTTCTTACAAAACTGGGGAAGGGACCAGGAGGTACAAATGTCCCTGCTGATGGTCCCACACAGTTAACCCAGATCACACAATAGTTGTAGGCAGGGATGAAATTCGGCAAGAATTCAAGAGCTGTGGCACCACCTGTGTGTGCTCTGCAGAACTGGGTATGCACATTTCCTCCTGTGTTCAAACCCCTTTTTTGCCTAAGAAATGCGGTTTGAGGATGAATCAAAACCATACAGTGAGGATCAGGATGTTCCAGACTTCAGGAAAATGCAAAAGCCAAAGCTGAATAACAAATGTCTTTACATCTGTTTCAATGAACTCAGAAATGACAATGCAGCATGGAAAATTGTACCAAGGAATTTTTTTGAAATAAAATTAGTAAGAAGAAATCAGATCTGCCTATAACTGCCTGTAATAGAGTATTTTACTCTGAATTACTCTACAGCCAACTCAGGTAACAAATAAGTGGTAGGAAGGGTGGTACTGCATCTGTCCCTTCTTCACTTTATGATGCCATGAGACAGGATGTGAGACTGAACGTGGCTGGAGCTGTGWGTCTCCAAAGCAAAGCAAAAGGAGGTCACACAGGAGAAAAAGGTGAGGAGCTGGTTTTTGACCTGCTTTGCTGAACAGATGGAGCAGGAAGAGATGCTACAGAGAGCGTCAGACACACAGAAGTCACTCCACTCAATGTTTCCAGAGGTTCATTGCTGCCTGGTCCTGAAGCTGAAAGCCAGAGTGAGAAGATGAGTACAAAACAAATGAAATGCAGAACCTGGAGGCATAGACATAATGGACTGCACTGCTTTCTGTGCCTTTTCGACAGCAGATGAGAAGTAAGAGAAACAGGACAGAAACCAATAATAGACATGGACAAAGACACAAGCCTTTGGAAAGAGTCTGTTTAAGGAACAGCTRTCCCAGAGGGAGATTGGTGTCTTCCCAAGGCAGCTATAAAAGAGGGGACAAGGGAGGATCTATATCTCTGTCAACCCTTCTCCCTGCAGTCACTGCTAAATCACAGAGAAGACAGGGCTGGAACTACTTCTCAYAGATTCAGCATGCCAGGACTGGATTAAAAGGTGCAGATGTGCTCTAATAAACTCACATCTGTAATGCATTTATGTRGCTGTGTTGAGATACGGATTTCATATAGCTACTCTGTCAAGATTATGCCAAAACAATGTGTGAAGAGCCAAGTGATGTCTTGTAACAGAGTAAGTGAAATGAATACTTCAGTGAATCATGTTTCTTGTCCCCATACTGAGGGCCCGCGATTGTCTTGGATGTTACAGCAATCACTGTGGCCTCTGAAGTTCCAGGCAAAATGTAGATAAAGCTGAAAAAGGGCAATGGAGAAACAAAGGGTGAGAAGCTGCAGCCAGCAGAAAATTGAATTAGGGGCAGAAGCTCTCAGGTTACTCTGATGCAGTTAATATACAGGATTAGGAAAAGTCAGTGGGCACATTAAAAGCTGCTTTCATAATCACCTGAAATCTCAAGAGATGAGATGAAAATTAGAAGCCAAAATAATATATCGTCGTGGGTCTCATTTTATTTTTGTTCCTATTAATTCTCCTGCTGCATCTATTATATTGAGTGAACAGCCAGTTTATAAAATTCTTAAATCCATAGGAAAGTGGGAGGCCAGACTGTAGAGTCCTGGCTTCTTTCCACCCTAAAAGGATTCAGGGCTTCTGCCTCCAACACACACAACTGCCTTCTCCAAGTGTCTGTCTCACACTGGAGCTGTCACCCTGTATCACACACGCTGAGAAAAAAACTCACTGCAAAACTATGGGATGAAGAACTAAACAGGAGCATCAATTTCACYCAAACCCTCCCCAGTTTCTCTGGGCTCAGGGTCATCGTCATCTGTTTCCCTCTATTTTTTCCCCCCTCCTACCAATCATTTTAGTGTTTCTAGCCAAAACAAAAAATGTCACAAATTAAAAACAAGAATAGCAACAATAACAAGCCCACAACAAACCACCAGGATTAGAGTTTCTATTATAATCCCTGTTGGCTGGAGACTGTAATTCAGACCCATTTGACTGTCCAGTATGTTAATTTGTCACCTTTTTTTTTTCAAAACATCACCACCACAAACTGGGAAAATTCTCAGACCAAATCAAGGCTTTCCATATGCCATCAAATAGAAGAATGWGTTGCCATAGACCAACTTTTTAACCTGCTTTTTGGATCAGACCAAGTTTATTGKCATGTCATCTCTGGGCATTTGCTCCTGAGGTCCTACAACTTCAGAGCCAGTTTCAYCCAAATCAGATCCATTCTTACTACTGCATGAGCTACCCTGATTAAATCTGCATCCTCCTTGGCCCCTGGTAACAACAAGGAAGCCATACCCACGGGAAACTAAAGGCAGGGCTAACTCACCTACACACCATCTCCCTGTCCACTGAGAAGTCAAATCATCTGTACCAGACCCAAGAGACGAAAGAGTAAAGCCATCAGCAGGAAAGGTGTGCTGCTGGGTGCACAGAGTGCTCCCACCTTCCCAGCCAAGGGCAGAGCACTTTCCTTTGTGTGCAGCGCAGCACATGGTCTGTACAGCCATGTGCACTTAGGGGAGGATCAAGGCTTGGAATGCTATGCRACATTTTTGGAAGTTGTTGATTGTTTTCCCAACAATTTCTTGGAAWCAGTTCCTCCCTGCACTGATACGTGAGATATGGCCAAGCCTGTGCTTATATCAGGTTGCTCTTCCAAACAGAAAATGTGGAGAACAGGGCAGGTGGGGAARGACAAATGCATGGGGACATGATGGGTAAGAACAGTGAAATCACATACCTTCAGGGATGCACTGTCCAAGAACAAACTTATAACCCTTACAGCATTTTTTCCTGAAAAACAATAAAATAAATAAATGAGTAAATAAAYGTATTCTCTACAGATTGGTGCTGCCTTTAAAAACAGCCATAGGTGGGTTGTGGATGTGATGACCCAAACAAGATGAGCATTCTGAGGGCTGCAGTTGAAGGTCTCTCAGCATTACAGAGCACGACAGGGATGTTGTAGCTGGCCCAGGAGGCATTTTACATGGCAGCATGTCCAGCCACCTCAAGAACATGGGGCTGAGTACCCCAACACTGACCCACCCAACATCCCAAATGATTTCCAAAAAATCCTGCTCTCTTGCTTTGATCAGACACAGCATACTCAGTGCTGTCCAAATGAACAATTTGGGTCATCTTTTTCATGCAATAATGAAGGGTATTTTTAAACATCTGTCATTGCAATGCAAACCTGCAGAAAGAGGTAAGTCTCAGTGAGGAGTACACAGAGGATAAATGTTATCAGTCATTTCTCATCTTCTAATAGATCTGGAGGAGGCAAATTAAATATATTGGGTATTTSTGGAGCAAAGGAAAGTATCTTATATAATCTAAGGGACAAAACTGCAGCGTTGAGTCAATAGGATTTGACACTATTTATGTGCCTATGATATGAACRAAGTATGAATGCTGAGAAATTACTGTTTCTGAAACACTGGCTTGTAATGACATTTAGGCATCCAGCTAAACCTGCTGGTTTTGTCTCTAGGCAGCAAACCTCATTAAGTCACTAGAAGTCCCAGTGGCACCCAGGAGCCTTTACAAASGGCTGTGTCCCTTATCACCCTGGAGTGTCTCACTGAAGGGACCTGGAGACCTTCAAAGGGTCCTGTGATGGTGACTACCAGAACTGCTTCAAAAGAGAAAAACTGCTGCTCAGTGCGCTATCACATCTAGTATACACAAATCTGGGGGGCAAAAAACACCAATAATTTACAAATTCACAGATTTTTGTGCCTTATGGGCATGCTGAAATATCCCCAAAACTGGGAGAGCATCCGTTTGGTCTTTTCCTTTGATTCAATAACTGATGGARAAGAGTGCTAAAACCACATCAGTCAACGACATGACATTCCCCTGGACAGCATGCAGCCATCACAAATCATCATTATGTTGAATTTAAATCAACTATCAGCTGCAACTGATGGCTTAAAACAAACAATGCATTACTCCAAACAATGTAAAAACAAACTCTGGCTCCAYATTTTACCCTCTTCCAAAGATTAGCTGGAATATAAATTATGCTTAATGAGTGTTGAACATCTGAAGAGGAAGCCTTGCTTTGTTATGCAAACAGTGGTGYCTCATTAGACTTCTCTCCAAACAGTGCTGTGAGGTTTTATCTGCAAGACAAACAAATGCAAGAGGAACGGGTTCAAAGGTGGTTTGGGGAAGCTGTTCATGTGCTGCAAGCCATGCTGATGGCTTTCCAAGTGCACATTCATCTCTTCCTGTCTGCACGAGAAGAGAGTCTTGCTCGTTGCTGCTCTTCAGAGAAAGATACAGACCAGCTTGAAAGGGCTGGAATATGAGCAAGGCGAAGGTGCCATCCCTGCCATGAGATGCTGACCTCTGGGGCTCTGCCAGCCAGGACTAACCACAAATAGGAAGAAGTATCTTCCATAATTTGTACCTTCTCCATGGAATTCCTACTTGATTTTCAATCTTAGGACCATAAAGACTCCCAGCCTGGAAATGAGTTGTGGCAGAGATGATGTGACAGCCTATCTCTGGGTAAGGGCTCACCTGCAGGGAATCTTGCAGGAACTGCCTCTGTCCTCTCAGCTTTTCCAGTGATGTTTTTTGGCTGGACTTGTTGGTTTTCTTGTGGCTAAAGTGAAGTTTTACCTACCTGACTGGATTCTCCCAAAAGAAAAAAACACTTGCTTTGATCAAACCCTTTTTCCATAGCCACACGTTGAGAATGCACCACATGCCAAGGTACAACCATTAAATGCTGCCCTGGCACCCTAATATTGCCCAAAAGCACAGCCTTGTGTAGCTTTCACTTGTTTTAAGTGAAAAAATCATGTTGCCCCAGCTGATCCCCAAACATTTGCTGAAATCCCTCTTTTCAGCAACTTCTTGAGTTCCATGGTGGGATGAGATGGTTTTGGGAAACATTTCCTTGTTTTCAGTCTTCCTCTCAAACTTTTGTAAGAATTTTCCCAGTACTTACTGGTAAAGAGATTTTGGAATATTTTCTCTAAATATGTGAAGATTTTTCTGCCTTGTGAAAGTTTTAAATAATACTTAGAGAATTGTTTTAGTAAAGGGGTACCCTGTCTTCAGACCACATTCCAGAAACCAATTCCCCATGAAAATCTCTTCTCAGGTGAAAGTTATGGATCTCTTCATTAGTGCAGCCTGTACTCAACAACAACCTTGAGCCATCAGCACGATTTCACCAGAGAAACTGCTACTTTAGGGTTAATGCAAAGGAAATACAATACAATACCTGTKTCTCTGAACATTACATTGCAACCCTGGGATTCCTGCGTGCTTTAGCTTTCTACATTCTTAAAGKGAGATCTGTCAAAATGATGGACACATGAGCATTAGCAAAGGCATTTTAATAGCAACACTCATTTTCAGACATCCAGGCCCAGGCTGATATGTCTAATCAACGTTGCACAGCAGCAATCTCGTTGTACATAATGAGAGGTAAGAGGGGGTTCCTACTGATAATTTTAGCTACTGGATAACTTCCAGCAAGGTGGTTGCTATGCAGCTGTACATGTGACCATGCATGAAACACAAACACAGGGCTGTGTGAGAAGCTCCACCACTAAAACTCCTGTCTCTGGGGAAATTAAGTCGATTTGTTAACTTTAAATCTGGTTTATAAACGAAGAAGCCTCTGGCAGACTTTCATCTGATACAGCTTTTAATGAGATACTTCAGCAGTTGAAAACATAGCAGCTTTTGATTCTCGTGCAATCTCTACTCAGGAATAGGCACGAGCCCAAACTGGCAGAGGGTTTTGGACACCATGACTTTGATCACTGCAATATCTGGCATTTGTGCTACCTGTAAGAAAATCCATAGTGATAGGGGCACCCCCAAATCCAAGTCACTCTTTCCYCTTTCTGGCAGGTAGCTGCTYGAGAAGCAGAGAAGTATTGAGCTCYTCCCCTCTGCTCTGGAGGTCAAGATGCTTCTGGATCACTAAATGCCAGAAGACAGGATTTAGGGCCAAACTTTTGATACCAATAAATGTATCGATGACCAGGCAAATGGCAGTTCTGCCTCTTTTTTTCAGGCTTTTGTGGCCCATTACCTAGCAAACTAAGAGAGGAACTGAGCTTTCCAGGARCTCCCCTGTATCCCATCACCTGCAATCTCCCCAAAATGTCCAACACATGGGGGTGCACTGGCACAGCACCCCTGCCCCATCCTGCAAAGCAGTAGCTGCTTGATAGCACCGCCTCAGACAGGCTGGACGAGAGGCAAGATGGGAGGAATGCGGCTTAATTAAGCCACTGCTTTATTAAGTTAGCTTATCTGGCAGCTATCAGCAGTAAGTCATCCAGCAAGGACCATGTTTTTTCCCCATAATTGCTTCCACCTGGCGCAGAGCTGCCGTCACCCCAGCCCACCTCCTGCTCTGCACGAGACACCGCAGCGACGCCGGAGACACCGACCAGGGCACGCCGAACCCAGAAAATAAAAACACCCTGTGAGTGGGGAGGGAGTCACTCAGGGTCCTACAGCTGCTGAAAATCCCCAGAAATGCAAACAATAACAGGATAAACATTTAAAATTATAATTAACCTGCATCTGTCTGCAGTAACGTGGCAGTGACTTGGGCTGTAACAACAGCTCCTCGGTGCGTTTATTGAGATTTTGGAGAAACAGCTCTAAAACCCTGCCATGAGTCATGTTGAAAAAATTGATGATCGTTTAGTGATTGGAAAAAGGGAAGGCAGRGGGGAAATGTAAAGGAAAGAAGAAAAAGACATGTTTTATACTGGTTTTAGACTAAACATAGTATGTTAAGGAAGCTCTGGTAAAATATGTCAAAAGTAGAAAGAGACTGCTCTAAGAAATATTTGCCTCCTAGGAGCAAAGCAGATACACAAGTCTCCATAATGAGCCCAAAAATGAGTTCTTAGGATAAAATACAGCCCTTGCTTTATCCCTACAATGCTGATGGGCAATCAGCCTCCAGGCTGACTCCTCCCAGACAGAGGTAGCTGAAGCAGAAGCACTTTACCTCCCGTTCACCAGGGCTGGGAGAGCACACATGGGCAATTTCTAGAGCTCTGCTGACGCCTGAGGTGGCGTCACTGGAAGATGCAGCAACTCCACAAATGGTCAGGCAGGTCAAATCCCTCCTCTCTGAAATGCTCATTCTAACCAATGAATGTCAGATCAGCTGCAGTTTAGGGGGCAAAAGAGATGCTTAAGGTTTTATACAGATTCAAATATATCAGCACTGTTCTTCCAAATCAGCACTGGTAGAAAGCAATGACAATACACTCAAGAAATGTCTTTAATTAAAAAAAAAATTCCTATTGGGAAAGGAGAGAACTTTTTTTTTTAAATACAGATTTCAGCATAAATCATTGCTTGAACTCGGAAGAACTTGGGCTGTGTTCTGAAGATCTGAGTTAGCAAAGGCCACGGCATGGTGTTTTAATTGCACAAAAGGGTCTTTGTTAGACCCTTCTCCTTATTGTGCCTGCCCAGTGTTTCTTTTTTGATCACCCTGGCTTTGAGAAATACACAGTGTAGCAAAAATTCAGATATAGAATACAGAAATGAACATACAAAAAAAAATCAGATGGCTATAAACACAAGCCAACAACGTACACTAAAAAGCAAACCTAACAAAAACAACCCCTAAACTGACTTTTCTCCTATATAAAATCCAAATGAGGGACAGGTCTGTCTGCCAAAGCACGCACAGACAAAACCCATCTGCAGCACAAGTGCAGCAGCTCAGTAGCTGTGCACAGTTTCGCYGTAATTCACACGGAGAGATTTATGTCAACATGGTGTAAAAC